ATGTGCCTCTATGAATCAGTATTTCTATATCCTTTGGATAAATACCTAGGAGTACAACTGCTGGATCACAGAGTAGTTCTATTTTTAACTTTTTGAAGAATCTCCATACTGTTTTCCAGGGTGGCTGCACCAGTTTGCATTCCCACCAACAAGGTACATGGCCTTTTGACTATGTCTTTATTTTGTATAGTATAGAAAATTGATTTTTATTTATAACACATATTCATATATTAATTAATTCATAATTTTGCCATTGGAATTCTACTAAAAAATCAAAGGAAATACAATAGTTAAAATACGTTTTGAGTCTATGTTTTACTTGTAAATAACTGTCACATTACCTCTCTAAAATATAACTTTGTCTAAAATATTCATCACTCTCAATAACCTTAAAATGTAGCATTGACGATAACTCAAATTACATGTTTATTCTAAAAAACAAAATTTTTAAAAAAGGATAAAATGGATCTTTGCTTTTTACTTTTAATTCTGACTCTTGAACTTTGTTAGTAAATTGACTCTTTTCTTTCAATGAAGTCTTATAATAAGCTCCACACAACCATTTGAAATTGTAATTAAGAATTGCACTACATTAGGGCGCCTGGGTGGCTCGGTTGGTTAAGCAACTGCCTTCGGCTCAGGTCATGACCCTGGAGTCCCTGGATCGAGTCCCGCATCGGGCTCCCTGCTCGGCAGGGAGTCTGCTTCTCCCTCTGACCCTCCCAACCCTCCCCCCTCTCATGTGCTCTCTCTCTCAGTCTCTCTCTCTCAAATAAATAAATAAAATCTTAAAAAAAAAAAAAAAAGAATTGCACTACATTAACACCACTACTCCTAGGAAAATGCATCATAACCATGTGTCTGGACTAAGTTTTGTGCAGTTGGACACTTGTCTCCCATATTGCACAACACAAAATTGTGCAATAAGCATGCCGCTGGCAATTAGGCAAAAGATATTATTACTGAAGAGTCTCTAAATATATTTATTTTGCCATGAAGCTTCCTGGCATTAATTTAATTAAAAAGTTATATCAAAGTATTAAATATCATTGCATAACAGGTAGGAGGAGGAGCATGTAGGGCAGTGTTTCTTTCACAATCCAAATTAAAAAGGATTTCACCAACAAAAATAAGACTAAAAGTGACGAAGAACTCATCAATTTTGTAATTGAAATAAGACAGATTCCCATTCCATAAGGTTTGAGAAGCAAATGTGACTCCATAGGCTTTTCACTTGTGTGCAAGGAAAGCAAAAGCATCCACTATGAAATGCACCCAAAGATTAGGTACAGCTTTAAGAGGAGAGTCCTGGGCAACACATGTTCCTATGAAGCCTACAATTGTGGCTACAACATTGACAGTCAGTTGAAATTGAAGGAATTTAGAGATGCTGTCATAAGCATTCCTACTCTTACTTGATAACTTTAACAGTATTTGTGAGATTGTCATTTATAAGGATGATACTGGTAGGATATGACATCATCGGTTAAGTGATAGTCCTGAGGCTCCTTTGATGAACAACTGAAACCCCCGTCAGGCAGTTTTAAGACAGTAGTCATGGATTTCTTCTCTGAGTAGAAGGTATATACTTTTATAGACTCTCTTATGTTATGCTCTCCCTTTCCTTCCTTCCTTCCTTCTTTCCTCTCTTTTTTCTCTTTCTTTTTTTCTTTCTTTCTTTCTCATAGTCTATTTTTAAATGCAGAATAAGTCCTAACAACACATATTTTATTTTATTGCCAGTCTGTTGTGGTGGACCTTTGATATCTTAAAAAATACATGTTAGAATTATAAGAACAATTAACACAATATTTGTTAAAAAGACATTCCAAAATGGGTCTGGAACATACTTAAGTCTAGGAATTGTTTTATAATGATCTCACCAATGTAAGCCTGACTATCGTTTTGTTAATAGTCAACATTCTTATTTTATCTGAGCAAATGATTGCTGCATTTCCTGTAGTTTCAAAAGCTTCCAAATGTCTTAGTAAGTTATTATCCTTCGTTATTTTCTTTATGGAGTAAGCCAAGGAAAGAGGGACTGCAAATGAAAGGTTTTCTGGGATAGCCACCACCAAGACTGTTATTCCAATAGTGAAAAACTGAACAATATATTCTATGTAAACTGTAGTGCAATCTAAAGTCCATTTGTGTTCCCCAGTTCCAAAAGTCCATAGTACAAAGTTTGTCATTAAGAAGACAAAGTGAGAGAAGCCATTAGCAAGCCGTACTTGCCAGTTGTGTTATGGATGACTGAAAGTTTGTCTTATAGAATCAACTACTGTTTGGCGCTAGTAATGTCTGAATCTGCTGCATTTGTCTTTGCTCTCTTGGATGGTTTTGCCCTCTCTGGTCCTATGAGAATCTGTTTTCTTTACATCATCTTTGCTCTTTGTTTCATAAGTCAGCAAAGACAGGATGAGGTTGCTTTGGAGCTGTGGTCACCTAGGACCCAGACAGCAGCCTGGGGTCGGGGGTCAGCGTCTTCTTCACCATTTCCTACTGTGTGGTGAGGACGTTCTCCTCCATCTTGAGGTGCTGCCGGAGGAGCAGCAGCTGGTCCACTGCAGCCTATTGCCCTAGGGGATCTGCACCATGTCTCCCACCACGAGGTCCATCCCACGGACCTCCTCCACCTGGAGCCCAGCAGCACAGCAAACGTTTTGTGGGCCTTGCTGATGCACTTCTCCAGGCTGCGGAATTGTTCCTGCTTGCTCTCTGGTCATTGTAGATGTCAGCCACACTATGTGCACCACCCTCCTCCATCTCCACATTCTGGAACAGCTGGCAAATGCGGCTCCCAACCCAGGCCACATGCACCCCATCATCACGTGTCTGCTCACTGCTGGGTGCGTTTCTTCATTTCCTTCCCCTTTTCTCCAGTGGACCCTCAAGCCCTGGCCAGAAGAGTCACCTGTGCCCTATTTCTGCACGCCCAGGTACTTTCAACTGAAGTTGAAAGTGCCCCCTCTTCCAATTCCAGATCTCACTCCCATCCACCACCCCAGCACCCCCCTCCCCCGCAGCCCCCACTGCAAGGCCAAGTGCTTCTGTCACACATCGGCAGGCTCTCAGAATTCTTCAAAGACCACAAACACCCAAATGAGAGCAAGCAGAGGCTATTTATTCAGAGCTTGCTTTGGCAGGGAAGTCAGCCACTGTCAAACCTAGGACAGAGACTCAAGGGCAGGCAAGGAGTGGGAAGACTTTATAGTGGAAAACAAGGAAGGCTTCAGGTGGGCCCTAGTTAGAATCTGTTGACCTGGGGAAAGGAGGCAAGCATTCCGTGTGACTGGTTGGGAAGTATATTTGGCTTTCTCTGGTTGGTTCTGAATTGGAAGCGTTGGTGTGGGCAGGGCAAACATTAGGGGAGCTTACATTTATTGGTCAGATCTTGACCATTTGGGTCTGGTTGGTGCAGAGATTGTGGGTCAGTGTTCTATTTTTATATGCTCTGACCATGATCCCTTTGTATATTGTCACCCACCACTCATCCCCTCTGCTTCCTTTGGCCACCTTTCCAAGTAAAAGCTGTCATTGGGAGTTTTCAATAGGAACTAACCTTCCAGGATGCTGGGGGTTAGCATTTTTCCTAAGAGAAAAAGCTCCAAGTGGTAGGCCTAGTACATACGGCCTGTGCCCAGGGCTGTGTCTTTTAGGCCTTCAGCTCTGTGATGCAGAAGGGTAGCTGAGCTCTTTGATTTTTAAAATTATGAAACTCGCCCACCTCTCTTAGTTCTATTGCAGTGCAGCCAGTGCTTACAGAAAACCAAATATTGTCTCTATATTCACCATATTCTCATGAGTAGTAACTAAAAAACTGAGCATACACCACATGCAAGGTCCAGCACAGTGGATGAAGTAGGGTGTGGTGGCCATTCTGTGGCCACAAGTTTGGTACTAATCCAGTTTCTGTATTCACATAGCTCCAAATTCATTTTTGTTATGGTCTTTTCTCTGTGTCTGGATTATCACCATGGTGTAGGGAAATATGTTATGCTCTGTTACCCAGAGCCTTGGAACATCTTACAAAACCTTCCATCATTGAGGAATGATGTTTTGTCTTCATCTTTACTCTCTCCCTGCATCTGGTTAGCAACAGTTGAACAGTCAACTGGTGATTTACTGGATGCTATTTAGTTTGTTCGGTCAGCTGTTTATTAATCTGTAACTTCCTGTTAAGATGCAGGGTGTGCTTTTTAAAGAAACCTTACACAGCATAAGTTTTATTTTGGGACTGGCTGTACTAATATATAAAGAGGATCTGTGAGAGTTACTTAGTCTTGTAAACTATTTTCTTCCAGCAAAATTTTGTGGGCACTTACCATGTGCCAGGCACTGTTAAGTGCACTGTAGTGCAGGAATGAATGAGATAGTCTCAGCTTCCAGAAGCTTACCATTTACTCCAGGAAGACAAGCATAATAAAGTGTGGTAAGTGCAAACATAGATGTGCAAGGTATGGCGTGATGCAAAGGAGGAACTGGAAAATTCCAGGGGAACAGAGGAGCGAGAAAGTTTTCATAGAAGAAGCTCTAAAAGGCAATCTAGGAAAGATTTCCAACAAAGATGTCACATTTTGGTGACAGCATAGAGGGACATTGGACAAGGAAGAGCTTGAAACTAGGGAAATTATTTGAAGGTTATTTAGGAGGCTGTTGCAATGATTTAGGCAAGAGATGATAAGGGCCTAATTGAAGACTGAGAGAGAGGTTGCAGAAAAGATTTGAGAGAATTTTTATAATGGAGTGGACGGTGGGAGGTGAGGAAAAAAGATTGGAGCAACAGTTTTCGTTTAGGAGCACTTGGTAATTAGTGTTGCCTTTAAATAGAATGGAAAAGAAGGAGAAGCAGGTGAGTTGGGTGACGGCTGTGGAAACAATGGGTTCACTTTTGGACCTGTTGAAATTCAGGTGCCACGTGGGGACATCATTCGTTCATTGGAAATCCAAGTTTGAAGTTTGAGAAAGAGGTCTGGGCTGGAAAAACAGATGTGAGTGACATCTAACAATTTGGAAGCATGATTCTCTTAAAAACAGATTGTGTTTTCTGTATATGGCATTGGACAACTGACTAATACTTCAAAAGTATAGAGTTTATTTGAAGATATAGTTTTCTCTAGAAATTTAAGTTACTTTTAGATCATGTTTTTTTTCTTTAATGGTGTCATCTTTTATGTGGGGAATTGGGCATACCAGGGCAGGGGAAGAAAGCAGTACAAACTGAATACAATCTGCAAATTGAACTTGGGGTTTTAACATTGACATTAAAACTGTTACTTGCCTTTTCAGTATTAGAGATTTAAAAAACACACTGATAAACTATGGAAAACTGTATAGTTGCATTTAATCTTGGAATGTTGTAAAATGTTCTTTACCAACAGTGCTTTACCAGTTCCTGGGAATTCGGAAATCTGAAAAGCCTATCATCTTTTATTAGACAAAGTGGGATTTTCAGGAATACCCCTTTGTAAAATTGTCCTTTGTATCCAGGAATCTAACCTAACCCTAAACTTAACTCAGACCCTAAATTGTAACCTTAGCTGTAACTCTGGACCCAACCCTAACCCCAAGTGAATGAATCTGTGCACCTAGACCTATACCTCATCTTCAGCTGAGCCTTAACCCTAACACTAATCACTAACTTAACCATAACCCCAACTCTGAACCTAAATATAGCACTGGCTCTTTCTTGTCACTAACCCTAACTGGAACCTAGAACTGGTAGATCTATGGGGGAGACCTATGGGGGGAAAAGGGGGAAAGACCCATTTCAGGGGTAGACCTATGGGAGAAAATGTTCTTCAGGTCTCTAGTAATTAGATAATCAAAACTGAGCAATGAATCTCAGAATAAATGAGTAATTTATACGCAGATCATCAGCAGACCATCTTTAACAACATATCATGATTAGGTAACCTGAGTTTTCGGTTAAAAATGTCCAAAGGTCTGGCTATTGTTCCTAGATGTCCTACAGGACATACTTGCTTCTGTTGTCTAATTTCAGAATGTGTATTTTACATTTACCTAAAGGTTGCTGTGAAAATTTGGTGAATATCTCTGAAAGGAAGGTCCAAATTAAGAGTACATTTTCATAGACTTCACAAAGGTGTAGGCTAACCTTGCTCCCAGTCTTCTAGGACTCCCCAAAGTGTAATACTATCCTATTCCAGAAGACTTACAGAAAGCTGGGGCTCTTTCATTTATATCTAAATCCCGATGTGACCCATAGCCAGACCTTACCAGCTGTAACTCATGTCTGTTAGACTAGCAGTCATTAAGACAATGTGCAGTGTTGGGCCCTGGGAATTATAGAAGTAATATAAGATACTGTGTGCATTCAGAGACTTTACGGCCAAGCTGAGGAAAAAAATGATTAACATTCATTAAACAATGAGAGAGTATGACGGGAGAGAATGTAATTCAGTGCTGTATTATGTGGTACAGACCTGGATACTGAACTGCTTCAAAGTGTGGACAATACTTTCTCTTTTCTATATAACACTCAGCAGCTTACCAAAACTTTGTAACACACATTCAATCTTTCTTAGGATCCTGGGAAGTTCATAGAAGGCAGGTATTAGTATAATTGTTCATATTTCCATATGTAGAAATAGGCTCAGAGGAGTTAATTATATCCCCCCAACTCTCCCAGCAAAAGCAGCAAAGCAGAGTTTTGAACATAAGTTGGTCAATTTCAAATCCAGTGGGAATGCAGGTTGGTCAAATCCAATGGGAAGCTCATTCTATTTCATGGAGTAAATGAGACTTGAATTGGGCCTTGGAGGATTGAGTAAAATTTGAAGAAATGAAAGGAAATGAGAGTATTTTGAATGGGGTAAATACTTTAAGGAGAAAGCAAGAAGCCAAAAATGGGATAGTGAAGAGACAGAGAGGGGAGTGGATGAAGTAAGATTGATTGCAGAATATGGGGCTTTGAGAGCCAGGCAAGGGGTTTATATTACGTGTACGGTTTCACTAAGAAGTCAGTGAGCGGATGGTGGCATAAAGGAAGCGTGTGTGGGAATCTGATAGTGCGCAGGTGTATGGGGAGGATTAGAACAAGGAGGTCCCAGAGGCAGGAAGGCCATTTTAGGTCGCTCTGTGGTGTGGCTACAAGGAAGGGCCTGGAATGGGGTAGTAAGAGTTAGTGTTAAATGAAAATAAATGGGTTAAAAAGAGACGAATCAAAAGGATTGACTTAGTGCTCGATTGAGCATGAGAGAGGGAGAAAGTGAAAAAAAATCAAAGAGTTCCAAATTTCAAATAACTAGTTCTGTGGCCTCAGGCAAGTCATAGGATCTGTCTGGACCTCTCATCTGAAGACAGTGTGATGCAGAAGCTGACAGCAACCCTCACCTCACATGTGACTGAAACTTGTTATGTATGCAGAACTATTGGATTAATCAGCTGCTTTAATTATGAGGGGCAATTTTTAAATGTCTAGAAAGATATTCTCAATAACATTACTGAAAATAATGAAAAATTGGGAAATATCTAAATGTTCTACAATGGAGGAAGAAGTAAATAAATTATGACTATTATGTGGAAATTAAAATCATATTTGTACAACATGGGGACATAAATATTCAAAATATAGAGGTAGGTGGAGAAAACAGGACACAATACTATCTGAACATTATTAAAAATAAATATATGAGTAGAAAAAAGGACTGGAAGAAAACATTAAGTGATTATCTCTGGCTGATGGTAATGTGGCTGATTTGTATAATCACTTTTGTGCTTTGTACTTTTCTGGAATTTCCAAATTTTGTACAATGAAGCTTTTTTCTTTTATAATAAGAAAAAATATTTAGGGAAAAAAATGAGATCGGCCACTACTGTTTAAAATCTTTAGATGTGTTGTGTCCCTTCTGTTTAAAAATAAAATATAGAATAGGTATGTACATCCTTCTCTATCTGACTTGGAAAATATCGGTGGGGTGGAATAGCTTTGAAGAAGTGCCAGAGATGGAGAGGTGACCTTCTTAGGAAACAGGGAATAGAGCTGAAGAAGATTCCGGTACTGCACAGAGCAGAGATGAGTGCCTTTACTGAAAGAAAATCGAATCCTTCTCTGTAAGGTAGTTTGATCTCTGGAAAATGCTTACAGCTCAGATAAATACAAAAGCAGCTCCGGAAGTAGATAAGAATGTAGTTATGTCACAATTGCAAACAGTGCTTCATTGTACAAAGTATTTCATTAGGTTTGCTAACCTAAAGGAGACCTTTGCCAGGATTCCTCTTGGTTTTCCACTAGGACTGCAAAATGTTTTCATTGACTGTGCATTCAGGCACAAGTGGAAATTGACTATCCTGTGCATTATGAAACATTTATGTGTTAAGAATTTTTAATAAGCATTTGTATAACTAAACAAAATATTCATAGGAAATAAGACCACAAATGTGCCCTTGAGGAACATAATTGAAAACCAGTAGAATAATTCTTAGAATCTTGATATTGATATGGATCCATGATAGTTCCTGGCTTTGTGTTCAGTAAACAGGTAATATGACGTGACAGGGCTATTTATCTGAAGCAATATGAAGTGTTACAATGGTCTTTGACTCAGTTTTCTGCTAAATATGTTATTTCACATGACCTTGTACTATCACTTAAGTCAAAACCCATGGAATTATCTTTGGTAGGCAGATAGTTTCTGACCGTTGGAGCATTCCTTTTGGTTTATCTTGGAATTTGCTTTACATTTACCTTTGTGGTGTTGTTTTCAGTAAATATATGCTAGTTCAGGGAACTCTCCTCAAATAGTTTTTTCTCCTCCCTACGATTTATATCGGCCTTGCTATGTTTCCCCTCACTGTCTGTTCTGGATGTCACTCTGCCACATAACAGGTAAAACACACTAGGGTCTGCCAGGGAGAGCTTGAGTTCTCTAAATACAAAGGTCCCCGAAACGCAAAAAGGCCAAACCTGAAAAGGGTCAGGGTACAACCTCTGATTTTTCTTTTGGATCAGCTTGTTATTAGACTTTGGGTAGGCTCAGCTATGCTAATTTTCTTGGCTGTGCTCACATCTGTAAAAACGGCATGAAAGTAAACAAAGGAGCATAGCAAACAGGGGAAAAACTTTCCCACTACCTCTTGCCATCTCTCAGTTTGTGATTTTTGCCTATATTTTATGCTGCTCAGTGGACAAAACTGCTTCATGCAGAGTTGGAGGTTTTTCCCAGTTGTACGATACTTGTCTATATAGGTCGTCAAAGTAAATACTGTAAGATCGTTTGCTTATGATATCACCATAGATGATGCCAGAAACATTAGGAAAACAAAGATTCGCATGTCAATACTAATTTTTTAAAAGTTGGACCTCAGTAGAATATATTTGCACCTTTAAAAATATCTCACAGGAGGAAGGTAAACACTGCTGGGAAGGAAGGATAGAGGATGGTAACAGAATGGGAACTTTATGGCCTTACTTGCAAAAATGAAATAATTAGGCCGGAGATGGCTTTTCTATTGTTGTCCTCTCACCCTGTAGTTTTACTTGAATGACTGTCAAAATAAACGACAAGTTATCACACCGTGTATAATCAATGTGACATCTGGGGCTCCATAAGAGGCCACTGTTTCTCTAACTTTAGCTAACCAGTGCACTTCCTGTAGCGTGCTTTGGGTTAATTGTCAGAGCCAAAGGGTCTGATTACCCTCGGCTTGTTTTAGAATCACTTTCTCTCTCTCTCAGCTAGAAGAAATGTCTCTTGCTGCACTTACCGCATTCCAGCATTGAAAAAGCCTGTTCTTTTGACAAATATATACAAGCAAAGAGCTAATGGGGTAGCTCCATCCATTTGAAGAAACTTTTAAATCGTTTTGTAACTGATGATTCCTAATTTGCTTGATACATGTACATTTTACACCTTTTCCTTGACAAGTGAGCCGAGATTGTGTGGTGGTTTTCATTGTGGCCTGAAGTGTAGAAGAGAAGGAGAATGAGGAAGAAAATATTTTTGAGATTTTACAGAGAGAAGGACTGAGATTTTCACTCTGTTGTGGAATCCACTGGAATAAACAAAGTCATTCACACCAGGCAGCTTAACTGAACGCATTTTTTATATTTCAAGTTTCTGACACAACCTCAAAGCAAAGAGGAACCTCTCCAAGGACCTAATCAGATGCAAGCCTGGTAAGTCACTGACTAGCACGGAAACTTTCATGTGAAGCAAAGCACTAGTAAGAATATATTTTTAGGAGGAAACTTTGGGTCCTTAAAAAAATTCTGTCCTTTCTACAACCATGAGTGTGTAAAAATAAGAATTCTCACACGGTAGATGAGGTGATTTGGGGTATCTTGCCAGGCTGCTTTGTGTTATGTTTTCCTTAGGAGGAAGGAGAGACAGAGAATATTCTTAGTTTTACCATCTAAATCTACTCTTTAAAATCAAATTGCCAGTGACTGGGTGTTTGAGACTCCAGGCAGGTTGATGCCCTGTGAATTATGCTTTTATTTCAGTGTGTTTTGCAATATTGACTGGTTGGATATACAGAGTTTTCACGAACATAAACTGAAGGATGATTTTATTGGAAAACTCAAGTATATCTTGCTTTTAGAAGATCCAGTTCCATTTTTTAAAAACCTTGCTTTTTGTCCTTTAATAATATCTTTAGTGTTGAAGAGATGAAACCATAAAGCATTGAGTTGATGACAAAGAAGATATAAATGAAACTGTAATAGCAAAAATATTAGAATAAGATGTGCATTTCCACAGAAAAGCTGGACATCTAAACTTCAAAACACAGAGGCAGAAAAGGTAACTTTTTACTTTACATTTATCCATAGAAATTGCCTTTATTTTTGTAACCAGACCCACTAAGCTGGCCTTTATATGATCCTTTGCCCTCATGAAGCAAGTGGGGAAATACCTCTATGTGAAATGATTGCAGTTTATTAAATGTCAAAGAGAAACTTGTTAACCAGATGTATCAGATAACCAATTGCCATGCAGAGCAGTTGACAACCACAGGAAGTGTCAGTCTTCCCTTTAAGGACAACTGGTGACTACACAAAATGCATAGTTTATAAATAATTAGGAAAAAGAGATTAGAAAGCATGCACTCATGTTATGCTATATGTTCCTAAAAAGAATAAATATTACCAGTAGTGTCATTCATAAGAATGATTAAGTATCAGTGTGTTAGAAAACTGTGAATGCAGACAATTTCAGCCTAACTCCATAATCTCAGATATGGGCAAGATATAAGCATAGGAATGAGGTTTCAAGGACAAGCGTTGGGGGAGGGGAGTCCAGGTTTGATGTATTTTTTTGTGGCTATGGACTGAAAAAATCAGTTTCCCAGGAAGGACTCCTGCAGTTAGGAGATGGGATTTTTTTCCCCTTCTCTAGTCCTGAGAATTTCTCTTCCCTGAGATGAGGGAAGGAATGGAAGCCCCTCAGTCTCTTTTCTGGATGTTCTTTTTCCTTTGCAAAGGAGGAAATTAAATTGCCAGGATAGGATCCTGGCCAAGTTAGAGAAACCCTCAGGGGATCTATGGAATTCTATGGGGCTGAGAAGGCCCACCTGACATGAACCCCCTGCAATTTTATGCGGAATTGCTGGTGAAGAACCACTCCTTTGCATAAGGAGAACATTTGAAGAAAAGCATTTGCGCAAGTAGAGGAGAGACAGGTCTTTGAACTACAGCTGCCTTTGAAGCTAGGGCCTCTATTGCTCTAATATACACTCTAGATCTCGGGATATTCAGGAAAAAAACAGGCTCAATTCAAGACCTCTCGGCTCGTGCTTTGTACAGGGATCTGTGTATGGAGGGCGAGAGGACAAGATGCTTCCTGCCCTTTGCAAATAAATACAGGTCAGCCAGTGAAATTTAGGAACACTATAATTGGGTTAGACTTGCCCAGGCAGTGACAGAGAGGGTCACTTGGGAGTTGGGAGATGAAGACTCAAGTGGAAAATCAGAATACTAGAACACTCGGATCACAGGAAAGGAGGCATGTGGTTCTGATGATCGAGGCAAAGAGAGAAATTGGGAGCTAGAAGTAGTCAGTGAGAGCAGAATAGGGCAGGCTGAAAGGAAAGAATCATGAAGGAATCACGACTCCGAATTGATGCGCCAGGGGAGCTGGCCATGGCCACGGTGGCCTAAAGGTGCTGCAGCAGATCGGGCAAACTCTCTTCCCCATACTGTGGGTAGGCAAACTCTGGCTAAAATATTATATCATGGATTAAAAGTTACCTCAAGAAATCTTCTATTCTGACTCCCTCATTTCATATACACGGAAAGTGAAGCCTGTGGCCTAACTAACCCAGAACCATACAGGGAAGGAAATCAGAGAAATTAGCTAAATTGACACAGTTCAGAGTCAGCAGAGATGTCTAATGGCCTTCTCACACTTGGCATGTCCCAAACTCTACCCCTACATCTTCTTTGTCTACAACCTTTCTCCATTAATGGCATCTCTATCTTTCCTGGAACCTCGGGGTCACTCTTGATTTTGCTTTTTCTCTCACACCTACATTCAATCCTTCAGGAAATTTAGTCAGTTCTGCCTTCAGAAATATCCCGAATCTGACCATTTGGTTCAAGCCGCCAAAGCTCCGCCCTGGATGATTGCAGGAGGTGCTCTCTCTGCTTGTCATGTGCCCCCTCCATGTATATGTTCAACACAACAGCCGGAATGACGATGTTAAAGCATAAGTCAGATCACATTCCTCTGCTGCACTAAACAAACAAACAAACTGCGAATGAATAAAATATCTCCTTGAGTAGCATTAGGAAAGAAAGAGCCATTATTTATGTGATATGTGTCATTCACCTGGGAAAGGGAAGGAGGGAGGTGAGGGAAACTAGCATTTTTTGAGAGTCTATGATGGAATTTGTGTAAAGGAACTTGTATGGTGCTTTTTGCACATCTGGCACTCATGACATGGTAGCTGTTTTTATTTTATTTAATTTTTACCGACTTCATGAGGTGGATATTATGATCCCTTTTTGGCAGGTAAGGAAACTCTGGCTCAGAGACAGGTTATAGATTTCAGGGTCACTTAACTAGTGATGGTGGAGCAAGGATTCAATCCCAAGGCCACGCACCTTCCCCAATCCTATTGTTCCACTGTGATCTTCAGAAAGGACCCCTAGGAGCATACAGCAGGTGTATATATGCACGCATGTAGGCATTATTCACCATAGACATGGATAAGACGGAAACTGGCAAAAACTCCTCCCTGGTGCCTCTTAACTTCTTTTTATAACCCAGCTGCTGAGCCCTTTGCCTTACTCCTGGACACCCATTCAGTGTCTCATATTTTCAGATGTCCTTAATCTCAGCAATCATCATTCCATTATTCAACCTGTCTGAGTTTCACTTTTCTCATCTGTAAAACTGAAATGATTATATCCCCCTCATGGATTCATTATGAAGATTAAGCAAGAATAAAAGCCAACATTTATTGAGTGCTTGCTGTATACCAGATAGTACTATAGTACTATTTTAAGCACCTTCTACGGATTAATTTATTAATCTTCACAACTACCCTATGGAGTGAGTATAATTACTATCATTGTGATCATTTAATGAGTGGATAAGCTGAATATCAGAGATTAAATGACCTGCCCAAGGTTACCCAGCTAACAGCAAAGATTCAAACTGGGGCAGTCTGACTCTGTGGGCCCTTTGCGCCATTTCCCCTATGCGTCTTCATTTGTAAAACAAGGATAATCTCTAAATAATAAATAATATTAAAATAAGCATAAGATGATAAGAAAGAATAGCTATCATTTACTAAATGCCAGCTTGTACAAAACAGTGTGCTTGCTCCCCTGCATTGGCCCTTCTGGGGGCCTCCAGCACTGCAGAGTTATTACAAGGATAAATGACATGACTAGTGCTTGCACATCACAGAAGATGATTAAATATTGTCTGCTTTCCACTCAGAGATAACCAGTATCAATACTTTTACATAGAAACTTCTAGACACTTTTCTATGCCCACTTACAAATAAATAAGTAAATATGGATTATATTGTACACCCTATTTTCAACATCCAAATTTGTTCATATTTTGCATAGTAAAAAAACAACATGCTTTCTCAGTGAATTTGATGTCACCCCCAAGTCAGAAAACATTCTTGGGGTTCTTGAGGGGGGAAAAAAAATCTAGATATTGCAATGGTTTGTGACTCTCCCTGCCTTTCTAAATATATTTTATTTTTGTTTTTAAGGAAGGTTCTGCATCGTGTGTTGTTAATTTGCAAACTGATTGGGTTATTTTGTTTTTCTCTCTCAAGAATTGAGTCTTTTTAATTTACATGAAGCCTTTAGTTGGTTTCTTTTCTTTTCTTTTAAGATTTTATTTATTTATTTGACAGAGAGAGACAGTGAGAGAGGGAACACAAGCAGGGGGAGTGGGAGAGGGAGAAGCAGGCTTCCTGCTGAGCGGGGAGCCCGAGGTGGGGCTCGATCCCAGGACTCTGGGATCATGACCCAAGCCGAAGGCAGACACTTAATAACGACTGAGCCACCCAGGTGCCCCTAGTTAGTTTCTTTTCAAACACTTGAGTGTAGTCAGTAGACCTTCACAGGGAAAAAAAAATCCCCGCCATTAAAGCAACAGACCACATGCTTGGGCTTCTGAAGCTGCTTGGTTTCTTCTCAGCGTGCCCTCGGCCTGTAGTTTGACTATCCCCACTTATGAAAGCTTTCATCCCCTACTACCTGAATTCTCAAGACTATATAATCTTCACAGGGTGGTAAAATGCTACAATATTTTACAATTTTTATAAAATTTTGTATTTTGCAACTATTACAAAAAAGTAGACTATGACTCACACAGTTTTACTGGAGCCGTCCTTCAAGCAAGTTCATGAATAATATGATCTCAACAATATTTTGTTGGATGAAGCATCAGCAGAAACTGATAGTTTAGAGTCTGAGAAATCCGTTTAGGAGACGATAGTAAACATAAAGTCCCCCTATAATTTACATCTCATGTTTAGCCTTGCGGTTTGTTCTATCCCATATACATACATATGTCTGAAGGTTTGATAGGGAATTTTTAGGTCACCACGATCTCTGCTCAGTTTTTTTTTTTTTTTTTAAGATTTTATTTATTTATTTGAGAGAGAGAGACAAAGATAGCGACAGCACGAGAGAGATGAGCAAGCAGAATGTGGAGGGGAGGGAGAAGCAGGCTCCTGCTGAGCAGGGAGCCCGATACAAAACTCAATCCCAGGACCCTGGGATCATCCCTGCTCAGTTTTAAACAGGACTAATGAATCGTTGAACACTACATCAAAAACTAATGATGTACTATATGCTGGCTAACTGAACATAATAAAAATAAATAAATAAAAATTAAAATTAAACAGGAGTTTAATATCTTAAACATTTTTAACTTTCAAATGACTTCTCTGGAAAAAAAACAAACATAGATTTCTTAGGCAGAAAATACAGACCAACCATCAAAACAGATAATCAATATTTTTTAAATCACTCTTGAAATGATAATAAGAGCAGCTGACATTTTTTTAAAAAGAGTTTTATTTATTTATTTGACCGAGAGAGACACAAGCAGGAGGAGTGGGAGAGGGAGAAGCAGGCCTCCCGCTGAGCAGGGAGCCCGATGCGGGGCTCGATCCCAGGATCCTGAGATCATGATCTGAGCCTAAGGCAGACCTTAACAACTGAGCCACCCAGGTGCCCCAACAGCTAACATTTTTATAGTACTTGTTTACTTGTGGGCACTTCCCTAAGGGCTTTTATATTACATGTAATTAATTTATATGAAGCATA